ATGTTGTGTCCAGTTCTGGGCCCCTCAGTTCCAGAAGGACAGGGAACTGCTGGGAAGAGCCCAGGGCAGAGGCACAGAGATGCTGGAGGGAGGGGAACATCTCCCTGCTGAGGAAAGGCTGAGGGAGCTGGGTCTGTTGGGCTTGGAGAAGAGGAGACTGAGGGGCCACCTCATCCATGGGCACAGATCTGTTCAGGGCAGTGTCAGGAGGACAGAGCCAGGCTTTGTGCAGTGATGTCCAGTGACAGGACAAGGGGCAGTGGGTGCAAACTGGAGCCCAGGAGGTTCCCTGTGAATCTCAGGAAGAACTTGTTTGCTGTGAGAGTGCCAGAGCCCTGGGCCAGGCTGCCCAGAGAGGCTGTGGAGTCTCCTTCTCTGGAGACATTCCAACCCCCCTGGCCCCGTTCCTGTGTGATGTGCTCTGGGTGCCCCTGCTCTGGCAGGGGCGCTGGGCTGGGGGAGCTTTCCAGGTCCCTTCCAACTCCTAGGATTCTTTGATTCTGGGATTCTATGAATCCCCGGGCCTTGCCACTGGTTCTGAACACAGTAACTTCACCTTCAGTAACAGTCACTTTCCTGGAGCCAGAAAGTTGGGAAGAAAACCAGGGAGAGTAACTAACAGAGCTGTGGCATCCCACTCAGTATCCCTGTGGATCCTGCTCCTGAGCTGGCAGGAAAATCATAGAATCACATTATTTTTCAGAGAATTAAATGGTGAGGCAGATGGCAGACAAGGAGCATGCAAAGACAACTACTGGACTAAAACAGTTACATGTGCATCTCAACCTCAGGTGAAGCCAGTATCACCATATCCATTAAGAAAAACCTTTTAATAGGCTGTACCAGTAATAACCTGCCTCCAGAAGAGATTCTTCTGATACCCTGAAGTTCAAGACCATATATCCTTCAAAGGTAGAGATTTCACATTTCCAGAGTCTTATAATACTTCTGGTGTTATAATTCCATCTATACTTTTTCTGGTTATCCCAAGAAACACTTGGCTTTTGTGAAATACCATGATACAAATGCCACAGGTAAATATCACAGAAAGAAGTCTTACTCAGCATGATCTTTGGCATCTCTCCTCTTGACACTTGAAACATGATGACTGGAAATGGAAGCTCCACCAGAATGTCTCCTGCTTTCTCTTCTCTGACCAGCAACTTAATATACATTTGGAACTGCCCCCCTGAAAAGTACCTACAGCACAAGGTACAGGACAGAGCCAGGATTTGCAATCAGAGGCTTCACTTCCATTAGAGGTAGGCAGAGTTCAGTGGTTTCCTTTGTTTGGTTTTGGCAAAATGCAGATTTTTTTTTAAACAAAAATTATGAGCCTTTTGATCTCAGAAAATGAAGCTAAAAGGATCCACAATAAAGATGAAAGATAACCACCAGCAGTCCAAGAGTTGTGTTAAAACCTTCTAATTCAGTGCTTATAAGCTTTACTTATTTCTCTTCAATCCCATTTATTTGCACTTCAGACTGGACTTCATCTCTGCTTTCCTGCATTGACTCTGTTTATTTTCCCATTTCTAAACACTGGTGTAATCCAAACCAATTTTGGAAATAATTTGCTTTATCTTTTTTAAGTTCCTGAACATGCAAGCTATTTTAGAACACATGCTCCAGTCTGCCAAGTGTCAGAGGCAGCTCTTTTTCTGACTGCTCTCTCAGAGTCTCTGATAAGTTGAGGGAGAGTCAAGGGTGCAGCCAGCTGAGTTCAGCTGCTTCTCAACAGGCTTCCAGGAGAAGACTATTCCCCTTCTCTCTCAAAAGTTCCATCATGGCTTTGCTCCTGCCTGGACACTACCCTTTCTCAAGTAAATACAACCCAGCACGCTGATAGCTGGTTGTGACAGGGTACAAGAGAGGACACACCTGCCCAGGCTGTCCCCTGGAGCAGGGTGGAGGGGACAGGACACAGCAAGGTCAGACGTCCGGTACCGTACGGAAATACCGGACGTTGAACAGGGAGGCCATTTCCCCCCAAAGCTCTGCCTTTCCCTCTTCCCCAGAGGGAAGGCTCAGGGAAATCGGAAGGACTGCTCTGATCCTGAGTCAAGTTCATGGCTGGAAAGATCAGTCTGATAAATGAAGGTCACACTGGAAGAAAATCTAACACACGTTTGACTTTCCGAGCAGGCACAGATTAATTATATTGCACGAATTCAGTCAGACCAAATACATAATGCATGCATAGCTCAGTCACAGAAGAGCTCAAGGAGTGGTGGCTTGGCACTGAACTGGAATGTGATGAGAAAGACTGAGGGAGGGATGACTTATTTATTGTAAAACCAGAAGAGCAAACCCTAAATTCACAGAGGCAACGCAGATCTTTGATATTTGGGCGAGTATTTTAGCTGTCACATTAGTCAGAATTTTAAAACCCAAACAACAAAAAATGTACATAGATAAGGTGAAAACAAATAACTATACAATGTAAGAATTCACTGGCAAGAGGCTATTTTAATAACTTTTTTTACAAGGAATCCAGCTATACACTATAGAAAAATAAACACCCAAGAGATTCTTCACAACTTAAAATGCACTGATGTGGGCACACGTAGCTGTTAACTTAGCAGTAATTTCACATGAGACATTGTTCTTCATGAAAAGTAATTTCCTCTTGAAGTACTAAAATATAATAAAAAGAGTCATATAAAAATCTGATGCAAAAGCACTGCCCTTTTTCAGTTGCAGAAGAGATTGCAAGTGCCTCCATCCAGGATGGACCAACTCAGGAGGAAGCAATGACTCGGGGAGGGGTTTACAGTACAGGTTTCAGAAGCCTTCTCATCACTTCTTCGTGTTTCGCTGGCGAGGTGGACCTGGAACTTGCCCTAAATTTAAATAATAAAAATTTAAAAAAAGAGTATCAGAAAACTGCTTGTGTTATGAAGAAACAGGGTGCAGTTAGCAGCATGTAATTTCCTCAATGTGCTTCATACGAGCTACAGTGAGACCATTACCGTTTTCATGAGCCACTCAGGAACAATACAGAACAAGATCTGAATGCTCCCACATCTGCCAAAGCAAATGTTCACACACAAAGACCAGTGCTGAGCTGCAGGCCTGCTTTACACACAGCATTCAGTCCAACTCTGCCACTCTTGTGGTAATTCCATCCACATTCTGTTGCTGGCCAAGATCTTGTCAGTGAGCAGATGTGTGCATCACAATTCCATCCCTAGCAGTGGCCCGAGCTGACAGGGGTGCCCACCAGCTGCAGGAGCACAGCCTCCCTGGCCTGGCCATTGGATGGGCTGTGTGTGCACACTGTGGATGTTCTGACCCTGCTGCTCAGGCTGTGCTGCTGCCCTGCAGTGGGGAAGGCAGGGGAGGCTGCCCCTGCAACATGACGGTTACAGGTACAAACAAGGAACCGGTTCTCTTCGGATTCAAGTCTATCAGAAGTCACACTGCAGCTGCAGGTCCAGATCTCTTGTTCACAACCCAGAGATGAGTCTCAAATAAAAAAAAACCTGGAAAACACATCTAAGCGTATCCTGATAGGAGATGATTTTGAGGGTGATGTGGTGACAGTTTAGTTTTTCCTTGGGACAAGGAATTTCTGTGCTATAATTACCATGTAAGAAGGGTGACTAGAAAATTAAACTAAGTACATTTAGCCTAGAAATTGGGCAGAAGTGTTTTAAATAGCAAAGATAACTACCACTACAATCTTTTGTGAGCTCTTCAATCCATTTTAAGAGCTAAACATCCAGCTTTACCAGCCTCCAAATATTGTTTTAATCTGCTATGGAATATAAGGAAGCAGTACATGAAGGAATGACTATAGTTTGTCCTGCAGGTAAAGCACTGTTCAGCTGTTACAATGGTTCTCTGACTTTAAAGCAAATTAACTCTTTACACACCTTCATTTACATGGCAACACTTGCTTATTTAGACTTGATAACAGGGGGTGAGGGGTAAGGAAATCACATTCAATTATTCAGCCTTATTTCTGAAGAATTGTACTACAAGCTTATTTTGAGAAATGCCACACCTGGACTAGTTTCAGATATGATTCACATAAAGGTTTCATTTCAGAGACTTACTTAGTTTTTTCTCCTCCCCTCATAATTTTAATTATTAAAAAAAAAATTATGCTCTTTACGTACTTTTAAGTGTCACAGAATCACAGAATTTTAGGGGTTGGAAGTGACCTCTGAAGATCATCAAGTCCAACCCTCCTGCCAGAGCACGACCAAAAAAACCAAACAAGTAGGGCAGATCACTCAGAAAGGCATCCAGGCAGATCTTGGAAGTCTCTGAAGAAGGAAACTCCACAACCTCCACAGCCTGTCCCAGGGCTCTGTCACCCTCACAGGAAAGAAGTTCTTGCTCATGTTGAGGTGGAATTTCCTGTGCTCTAGTTTGAGTCCATTGCCCCTCATCCTGTCACAAGTGAGACGAGCTTGTCCCTGCCTTCCTGATGCCCTCATGTATCGATAGACATCAATTAGATCCCTCCTCAGTCTTCTCCTCTCTATGTAGAAAGAATCAGGAGAACCCTGCAAAAGTCAGCCCAGACTTGTGGCAGCTGTGAGGTTGTACCACGGGGATTCTTACCTGGCTGCAGACCCCCCAGTCTCTGCTGGATCACCTCCAGGCGATGGATGTATTCTGTCAGCGAGCGCTCAGGATCCTGAGTAGGCACAAGTGACTTTTCTGAAGCTGAGCCTGGGGATGCATGCAATCTTAAAAGGAAAACAAGTTATTTTCTTCTCATGCTATACTCTCAAACAAATACATTCAAGTTATATTCATAGAGGAAATAATTCCATGCAAGCAAACTAGAGCAACAGTAAAAACCACCACAACCGAAACATTATATATAAAACAATACAGACCAGGCAGCTTGGGATAGAGGGGAGTCAAAAGAAATGATGGTCTGATATAAGTTGGGAGTATCTATGAATCTCTCTCTACTGATATGCAACAAAGTCCTTCAGATAAGAAAGCTGCAGCAAGAGGGAAGTCCAAATGGCCACATAAGAAAAGACACTTCTGTGGAGAAGGACTGAGGAGGAGCATTGCTGCATCCCAGCCTGTGGTAAAAATCTTATCTTGAAGGTCAGGGTTGAAAAAGAGGACCCTTTACATGGCACACTGTGTTTCTTTTTTGGCATTAACAGCACATTTCTAATATTAGCAAAAATACAGACTGGAGGACACCCTGTGCAAACACACACCTGTTTGGAGTTAGGATTCATCATTTCCTCTTAGAATCATAGAATCATTAAGGTTGGAAGGGACCTTAAAGATGATCTAGTTCCAACCCCCCTGCCATGAGCAAGGAACTATCCTGCACCCTTCAGTTGGTAGAAGGTAGCTTTGCCAGGAAACAGGAGCAGCAACAGGCATCATTTAAGCTATTTCTGATCCACATCAGACTTGAGCTACCACTAACCCCTTCACACCATCAGTCAGGGCCTACTTTAATTAATACTCTTGTTCCACACCATACAGATGGCTTTTCCTGAGAGCTGAGCTGCCAGCTGCTGCCTCTGGCTGTCAGACCCAGGTACATGCCATGACAGAGGAACAGGGTGGGGCAGAATTCTTTTGGGAAATGCTTGCAGGTCTCTAACTCTCTAAACTCAGTCAGCAATGTTAAAAACCTAAAATAATTTGAAACATCTGCTGTCTTTGCCTACTTCTAGAGCACCCCAGATACTTTCTTGCTGCTATATTTTTTTTTCTTTATCAAGAAAATTCTTGCCTGCTGGTTGAAATTTCTAATTTGGCAAGGAGGTGACAAACAATACATCCCAAGCAGATGGGACTGCAAACAAGCTCCCTTCCACATCAAGTGCTGCAAAACCTTACTTTAAGGAGGAAGCCACACATGAGGAGTGGCTTGGGAGGGGAGATGCTATCCCCCAGTAACCAGTGTGCAATGCCTGAGGTTCCTCAGGGTCCCAGGAGAGCCTGGGAGTGGGAAGGTCAGTCCTGACTGAAGGCCTCCTTCTTCCAACCCAAGTGCAGTGCTTGCAGCTCAGGCACTGTCTAAGCAGCGTGGTGCAAAATGTCACCTGTGCCATCCAACCCAGCAACAAGTGGCTGAGCTTCTATTTCTGTGCAGAGCTGACCATCATTCCTGAACAGCTGCAACAGCACACACCCCACAGGTTCTCCACCTCCTGTTCTTCTGTGTCTGAGCACAGAGCTGAAGGCAGCTCACACTGACTAAAACACTGCCATAAAGAGCTGCTTCCACAGGGTGCTGAGAAGTTGATCTCCAACTTGCATGGCTAAAGCAGCAAGAATTACCCCTCAGAGAGGGCTAACAGATATAAGCCACTGCAAATCCCATAGCCTGTGCAAATTAAATTGGGGAACACCACTAGGAATGTTCTCAGGCCAAGAAGGTCAAACAGGCTTAAAGCAAATGAGGAACTTTCTTCCCTCGAAGGAAATAAAACATTTAGTACATCTAAGAAATCAAGTTTCTCTTCTTCTTCAAGTACCTCCTCCAAGAAGTGGTTACATTTTTAGGAAAGACTGTCCACCAGGGTGATGAACATAAGCAGAGGCTGCAGACTGACCTGTTGGGCAAGCAGTGAGAGGATCTGGGGGAGCGGCTCCCAGACCTTGCAGAGCTGGTTCTGTGGCACAGCCCAGTGTCCCGGGTTGGGGGAGAGCTGAGCTGAGCAGCTGCAGGCTGCTGCTCCTTCAGAATGTCTATTCTGGCACCACAGGCTGTGTTAAATATGAAACAGTTAAAAAATATGCACTGGGAACCATTCAAAACAGGCTATCATAAACATAACAAATAAGAGCCTCAAGAGTTCCAGCAGAGTACAATGGTGTTTGCTTTTAAATGCATCTAAAATACACCTTCTACAGCTAATTGCTTTCTGGGGGTTTGTTTGTTGGTTTGTTTAAACCAGATTTAACAGAAATTCAACATTTTAATGCCAAACAACTGCTTCCTGCAAAAGGAGAACTTGCACTGTTTTCTTTCTCTAGACTTGCTTTCTCAGTAGCTGTTGCTACTGTTGCTACTGAGGGGTTTGTTCTGCTACAAGACAAATATTTTCTTGAGATATTTTAGTTCTTGTTGGTTTCTCTGACTATATGTTACTGTTGACTTACACTCTCCAAGCTTTAGAGACAGCAGAGAAAGGAAGAAATGTTTCTGTTTGCTTTGGCAAAGGTTTGGGAGGGGAGGTGTTATTTTTTTCTCTTTAAACAAGAAAAAGCCCTTCTGGTAAGTCCTTTAAACCAAAACACAAGATGCTATTTTGCAGTGAGGAGGGAAGCTCAGCATGCATTTCAGGACTTAAATAGGAACCACACCACAGTGGTTTTAGATAGGAAATTGTTGAGATTTGTTTGGGTTTTTTTAAAATGAAGTATTTCCAGTAACTTAGGACAGTGAAAATTATGTAGAAATGAAAAAAATGCACTATTTGAGCTGAATTTTGTTTAGTGTTGAAAAGACACAGGTAATGGAATTATTACATAAAATGGGATAGTTCCACAGTGTTGGGTACTGAATTAAGATATTTGTTTGAATTCTCACAAATACATCCATAAGTAAATCACAGAGTGGTTTGGGGGTTGGAAGGGACCTTAAAGACCATGCAGTTCTCACCCCCTGCATGGACAGGGACACCTCCCACCAGCCCAGGCTGCTCCAAGCCCCATCCAACCTGCCCTTCAGCACTGCCAGGGATGGGGCAGCCACAGTTTCTCTGAGCAACCTGGGCCAGGCTCTGCCCACCCTCACAGCAAAGAGCTTCTTCATAACTAAATCTCCCCTCTTTCAGATTAAAACCCTTTGTCCTATCATTCCATGCCCTCGTAAGAAAGTCCCTCCTCAGCTTTCCTGTAGGCCCCCTTCACATATTGGAAGGTGCTCTAAGGTCTCCCTGGAGCCTTCTCTTCTCCAGGCTGAACAGCCCAACTCTCCCAGCCTGGCTCCAGAGCAGAGCTGCTCCAGCCCTCTGAGCATCTTCATGGCCTCTGCTGGACTCACTCCAAGAGCTCCATGTCCTTCCTGTGTTGGAGGCTCCAGAACTGGACACAGCACTTTGGGGTGGTCTCATGAGAGTGTAGCAGAGAGGAAGTCTCTTCTGAACCTTTGGAAGCACTTCAAACCCCTTTTTAACCTCTGATACCACTAGCAAATACACCACTTCTAAGACTTACTCTGATGATTCACATATCTGTTTTAATACTATTTTAGCAGTACTTGTCCTTGCCTTATTAATAACCTGAGGCTTCAAACTGTACAGAACATAATTCTCTGAGTTTTATGAACACAGTTTCACAGCTTGAGGAGTGCCAATAAAGGGATCAGAAGAGGAGTTTGCCATTGCTGTACATTAAAAATTCTGAAAGTTTTACATTGTAATTTCTTACAGTGACTTTGTGAACTGATAATTGCTGTGTTCAGGAAATGGGCTCACACATTTGTGTTAACAGATAGATTTTGCCACTTCTGGGGGTATTTTTTTGGTTTTTTTTTTAAATGAAATGCATCACTACAGAGAAATTCTGATTAAACCAATATACTTGTCCAGAACACTTACCTGTATTACCTCCTATACTGTGACAAATGGTTTCACCTTGTATGCTCTTCCTGCTAACTTTGTTCCACTTTCTCACCAAAAACTTCAACCTTAGCAATAAAATAAACATGTACAATAATTAAAAATAAGCAAAAATGCATTGAATTTTACTACTAAACTCTTTGTTGACTTGAAATGTATTCAGCAACTTAAGTAACAACCCTGGCAGGAATGGAGGAAGAATTCTTCAACTTCAGTCTTTGGAATGAAGGCCCAGCCCATTTTACTCTGCAGTGATCCTCTAACTGCTGGAAAGGTTTGCTCATTTTGGCAGAGCTCCTGCACTCTGTCCCTAATCTCCAGAGTTCTGTGGCATCTCTTCCTGCCTCAGAGGAGTAGTTTGGAGGTCACTATTCCTACATCCTTTGATATTGCTATCGTTACAGCATCCATATCAAAGACAACAGGCTAAAAGCCATCCCATACCATCTCCTGGAAGCCTTAAACTTGCTAGTTTTCCTAGACAAGGGAATTGCTCAGAAGTAATCACCTATTACATTTAAAACTACTTTTTTAATAAAAGTGGACTCATTATGAGGTGGTCCCAAGGGCAAACAAAACCCAGTTGATACTGACAGAGTATGACAGAATCATAGCCAAGGAAACAAAAGGATTCAAGAGAGGGAAACACCACGAGTGATGAGATGATCTTATTCTGGTACAGGACAGACAAGCCAGTGAGCCCAAACAGATAAGGGTCAGGCTTGAAGGGAGGTCAGTTTGCCATTGCTGGGCACTAATTCTCAAACACCCTGCAGCTGGGTCTCCCTCACGACAGAAACAGCTGTTTACCAAGGCGTCCAAATTAGCGCCAACTCCGAAACAACAGTTCAGCCAAAGTTAGAGCTACCAAGTCATTTTTTAACTAGTTTTGGAGACAGCTTTTGCTTAACATTCACGTGGGATAAACCACAGGTGCTATACACCTTAAAAATTCCCAGAAAAGACCCCAGAACAGAGTGATGTTGTTACCGCGAGACGGCGATGACGGCCCTGACTGCGCATCGGAACCTGGTGAAGGGCCGGGAGCGGGACCCAGAAACCTGCAGGTCTGCAGGGGAGGGGTAGATGCCCATCCGTGCTATTAGAGACAGGGTTGCTTGCTCACAGTCCTGGAATCCACCAAGCAGCAGCAAGAGGTATTTCTTCTGGTAAACTAGAGCCTTTCTAAAGCTCTCTGCTCTGAGGTACTTCTTATACAATCTCTGCAACTGGAGAAAGAAAGAAAGAGCAAGTAAAAAATGATCCAATCTGTTAAGATGTAGCTACAAGAAAAGCCCAGAAAATCAGGTTGCTTTTTCCAGCAGTATCTCCAACAACTTGGTTGTGCCCAAGTATCTAAAGCCTACTTTGCTTTACAAAATTGTAGAAAGCTATTTAATAATTATAAAGTGGGCAAGCAGTTTACATTTATCTCTAAAATAAAATACAACAGTGACTTGGCCAGTCTTGGTGAAAAGTAGTGGTATTACACTCTGGCAGGTTGGACACCAAACTTGTAGCAAGTCTACTGAATTTCTGTGTGTCTATGAACTCCTGGCTAGGCTAAAAAATGTTGGCATGGTTACTGGTTGGTGTGCAAAAAACCAGCCACAAACCAGCTGTCTTCATGTCAAACATCCAGGCAGGTGGAACAATTCTGCACACAGCTAAAAAGCACCTAAGTCTGGAGTCTCAGACTGCCTTCAATCTCCTGAATATCTCAGAGCAAAACTGTTTTACTCCAAAACAGTGTTTATCAAATACAACAGAAGAATGAAATTAAGACTTGGGGAAAAAAATTAAAAATAAGGGGTGTTTGAGATTTTAATGCTTAGAAAAGAAATCTGAATCTCCCTCTCAATGAAGAGTAAGAAGAGATTCCAAAGAGCTACTTTTGGTGCCAGTTCCTGTTTAGCACCAAGAAAGTTAAAAAGGAACTTTTCTGATGTGGGACATACAGGGAAAGTGTTCCCAATTTAATATGCACTTCATAAAATTGTTCATCTATAAAATCACATTTAAAATAGAAACTGAAAAAAGATTACAGCAGTGAGTGGAAGTTAAATGCCATAATCTGACAGATAATGATATCCCCAGAAATCTGAGCTGTACATTTCCTGGCTCCTCTGCAACAGGAAGTTCGACCATATTTATATAAAAAATTTGAATGACTATATTACCTGTTCTACATGAGAGATTAAACTCTTAGGCAATGCCAAAGAGCAATACTACCAAGGGCAGAAGTCTCCAGAGGTTTTGATGATCTTGCTTCACACAGCAAGTCTGTACAACAGGCAAGGCAGGAAAAGCAAACCAAGTGCCCAAGGTTTCAGGGACATGCTAAGGGCCAGGGCATTGTTTGCTCCCAAGCTCAGACAGCCCATGTGCTGGACATCCCAATCATTTTACCTTAGGACTGGAAGCTTCTGCCAGTGGTTTGTTTTCAATTTCAGCAGTCACTTTAGCCAGTTCAGATTCAGCCTGTTTCAGGGCATTCTGCAAAACACTTCTCTCACGCTGCCAAGTGTCTCTTTCCAGTTCTTGAACAGAGCCAGTAGCATCTGCAGGTTTCAGCTGAAAAGGAAACCCAAAGGAAGTGAGCTCTGATGGTTTTTGCACATTACTTCCACAGCTAAACATCTCAAACTAAGCAATAATCCAGCATTATGGACAAACTAGAAGATGAAAATAAGGAGCCTGAAAATCAGAGACGCTCAGATGTTCAACTTTAAGATGGGAAACTGAAGCACACATGCAGCACTTTTTAGGAAGTATCAAATTAATAGTTCATCAAGCTACCCCTTCTCTGCAGATCTGTCTGATCACTTTACAGATATCCTATCCCCCTTAATAACAGTCTCCCAAACACTTGGAAATGGCAAGATATCATCTGTCTCTCTTCCCCAACCAAGGGAACACAGAAAGCATACAGAAAAATGTCTGTGTACGTGCAGGCATAAAAGCATGTTGTGAGGAACCTACAGAAGTAACCTGAAAAATCACATTCAATTCTGATAAATTCAGTTTTGTGCTAAGTCATCTCGTGTAGGAATGAGACCCACAACTCCAGGTCCAGTTCTTCACGGAAGTTCTGCCTTTATAACCCTCTGTGTATCAACTACCAATGTAATGGTCAACAGTTACATGAGTGCATGATGCAGCAGATCACAAGAGTGAGAAAATATACTTTTTGTTAATATTGTTTCCCTTGAAATAAAACGCATACATTAGAGGAGCCAGTACACACAAATGAACCCAATTTCTGCAAGCAACTTATTATAGTACAACCTCATTCAGAGTTTGAACATTTTCAGGAGTAATTTCTTATTAATACCTTCAGACAGTAACACAAGCATTTGTCTTCTATGAAGAGCACAACCTGCCAATTAAAACAATCTTCAAATTTAATAAACCACAGCCATCTAAGCCCTTTTACTGCTTGCAATATATACAGCAACAACTGGGGATTCCACTGCTATCCACATCTTCACAGCACATAATCTACCTCCCTGCCTTTAGCCTTTGCAGCTTCTTTAACATTTCAGAAAGCAAAGGCTCACCATTTCTCAGCATATTTAAAACAAGTTCTAAAAAATGTTTCAAGAATCTAACACTACCTCCAGTATTGTCATGAAATAAGATATTTATTTCTGTTCATCATCCCCTATTCATTATTTAATTCATAGATGTTCTATACAATACCAGGAC